CAGAAACACCTAAGAACATTCCCTCCATAAAAAGACCATAAATTAAAATGGCTTTGCCTCTCAGTTCCTCAGTGTATGAGGCTAACCTAAAAACAGATAAGATTCACAATAGCAAGAGTTTTATAGCTAGGTTTTCAACACTATATCTAAACACCTGAATCCAGTTACAAAACATACAAGAGTAAATAAGTACATGCTTTTCATTCTTATGCCAATGTCTAATTCTTTTTTAGCTGGTGTAAACTGCCTGCAGTTAGATGCAGGCATTTAATTACTACTGTTGTAAGCTCTTACATTAACTTAGAACTTGATGTTTTATCAAAGCACTAAAAGACAACCAAAGATTTAAATACTTAGATACACTCTTCAATCTAACTCTTGAATGGAGCTGACCAATATTCTGATATTGTTTTGAAAGCTAGATTTATTTTAACTAGTTCAAAAATCACAGAATTAAGATAGTTGGATAGTTGGATGCCACCCATCAGACTTAGATAGCATGATAACCATTACCCAATCAGAAAACTGAGTAAAACTGAAAGTTTTCTGCACTGATTTATAATCATGTGTCTTTATTATAAAAAACTATGGCTTAGTTTGAAAGCGTTATTAAGTATAGCTCCCTCTCCAAATTATGCAAATAAACTTAGTTGCTAAAATGCCAAACTTTGAGTAAGGATTATACTGCAGAAGTTTCCTAAATTTATTTCAATATTGGTAAAGATAAATTGTTATCGTGCACTGTATTTATACAGGAAGAAAGCAAGCAGTTAGACAGAGGATAATATATCAAGGCAATACTGAATACAAACCAAATAGTTTTGACGACATGAAAACTAAGCCTGAATGAAGATTTCTGATGTTAAATACCAAGATATTTGTACAGTCCTACTCTTTTGCCCATGTTATATTTGAGGGATGTCAAGTCTGCATATTTTAACTGGAAACCATATGTAAAGTGTCCAGCTATTCTGAATCCTCTAGCATCAGAATATTAGAAAGAGCCATCAGCAAATTAGATGTAAATCAAATTAATTTGATTGAAAGAGAATAAAGACCAGTAGGATGATGATGTGAATGAGCAAGAGGCAGGGCCTGAAAAAAAATGTCAGATAGTTGCAAAACAGAATTACTACTTAAACATCTTAACGTAAAATGAAAGACCTCAAAGAGATTAAGTGAAGTGCCCTAGTAAGCAGCACTTCCTCGTACTTCGAAAGGTCCCAAAGGACCTCAACTTCCACATAGCTTTGACATACATATGTGATAAGGCTGTTTGGACTGAGCAGGAGTCTTGTTCTCTTCCCTGTCCCAGGCATGGAAAGCTAAGTGTATAAATAATCATCACCACCAAATGAAGCAAATCAGCTGTGGCAGGATGTAATCTCCCACAGATAATTCATTTGATTGGACTGCTTATTCCACCTGCACTGGACAGGGGCCCACTCCTGTAGAGCAATGGGAGATATGTTTCCCACTAAGAGACATACTGGGTTTCCATGCTTAGATATTTGCCCCACAGAATTTGAGTTGCATATCTAAGGGCAGAACCCCAACTTTCCCCTCTTATGGAGATGCACCTCAGGGAATGTGAGGAAAGCTAGGGTTTCCCACTTACAGAGACACAGTCCAGAGACTGTGTGGGACATGTTTCTAAGTGAGGAAATCTGGGCAGGCGCTCCTGGGGATTGAGTGGCCTGATTCTGCATGGGAATTCTCAGGGTACATAAGATCGGACCCCTCAAGCCACAGGAGTACCCACCCAGGGCAGCTGCAGAGTGTGGGCAGCTCTCATGCCATTAAGCAAACAGGTAACTGCTGCAGTGAAGTGGCAGAAACTATTACCATCTTTGTCACAGCCACAAATATTGTTGCAGCCACACATTTGGGGCACTTTGGTGTGACAAGGAAAGTGTGACAAGGAGTATGAACATCTGTTTGCTTGGCCTTTGTGCTGCCATAACAATTATGGTCTGTTTTGACCCCAAGGAAAACCTCATGCTCTCCCTCACCCTCTCGCACACCCTACTGACTACTGAAGGAAGCAGAACCATTCTTTTCTTTTCTCCATTTTCTTCAGCTTCTGCACAGCAGAGCCTTTCTCAATCTTCCTTTATTTTGAAAGAGGTTTTGTTCCTTGCCTCCATTCCCAGCAGTGAGAAGACAGGGCAGAGCAGAGCTCCAAATTCTCTTCCTTTGTTCTCTCCCTATGTCACATGCACGCAGCACTGTGGCTCACTGCCTTCGTTCTGAGTTTCACAGAAGGACCAATGGGCAAGTAAACAATGCCAATGAAGTGAGTGCCACAAAATACCTTCAAGCTTAGAATATGTCATCATTGTGGACACTGAAGAAACAGGAAAACACCTTTCCTCGATCTGATCTGGTGGCAGTGTCAGTCAGATGGTCACAGCAGATACTGGAAGTCAGGCAGAATAAAATAACTAACTCTACCTTCCCTCTGCATATGTGCACAGATTTATGCCATGCTACTGCAGGTATGTCAGACTTAGGAGTACACAGACTGGTACATGTGCCTTTGTGCATTCACAGACTGCATACCTACAAAGAAGAAATGAGGCTAAGAATCTGGAACTTGAAGGATCAGCCATAAAGCAGCGTCGCTGAAAGGCTTTGCAAAAGATTTAAGAAAAATTAGGAATGAAAAAACAGGAAGATCACATGGCACCTTGATTCTCTTGCTCAGCACCAACCTTTGCCCTGTTCTGTCCCAATGATTCTATATTTCTTCCACTGTCCTATGCTCACTCTTTCTATTCATATTCCCTGCCCTCACCATGTGGAGGCCATCGCTATTTTTGTTAAAAGCTGAAGCACTAAGACAATCAGAGGACAAATAAAAAATGTGAAGGCAATCCCCTGAGAAAGACCTGACATGTGAATGCTGCTGTGAGTAATGCAGCTACTGTCAGCATTTCCCCCATATTTCAGCAACACTGTCACCGAGCTATTTTGGCAAAGCCAGCCTCCCTGCCCTCCTCCAGCTTCCTGACATCTACCCAAGCTGCAGATCTGCTCATCAATTTTTAATTTTTAATGTATTTAAAGTAACACAGGACAGCAAGGGACCTCCAAGCCCTTCAAATCCAGTCCCCAGTGTTTGCAGGGAACCACTTATCTACAAAAGGTCCACAAGAGCATCAGCTCCAGTCCCTCTTATGCATCTTTGCTACAAAAAACCTGGTGTTTCACAAGGAGAGTATGACACAGAAGCCACCAATTCTCTGACTACTGCAAGAGCAGGGAAATCTGTTCAGAAAAGTATGTTCAGTTGGGCCTAGGAAGAGATAATGCCCAGTTTTGTAAAAGAAAGCAAAATAACCTCAGCTGTCATTATCAGTCCGATTAGAGGGGGGAAACCTTCCTGCCTTGAAATCTGATGATCAGCTTGAGCAAGGAGGCAAGATCCATGAGCCAGGCACCTGAGAGTTTCTTGACTACTGTTCCAGTAAATATCCTACCCCCAGTGATGGCCAGTGTCTTATGCTTCAAAAGAAAATAAAAAAATAAAAAAACAGGAATAAATAATGGTTTTCACAAGAAGGGGAAAAATTCTTCCTGGCCTCTGCATGCAACCA